ATGTATTTATGTATATATATTTTCAGTTCTGGCAATTAGGTTATAGTCCCTGTATTCTCATATCGGGTCAAGAATAGCAGTTTATTACAAATTTGACCTAATAGTTTTATGACTTGTTGCTTTTGGACTGCTATTTTTACATTCTCAACTTTTCCTTTATTTACATTCAAGTTTTTTGATAGCTTACTTACACTGTACAATGAAAATCTAATAATCTAATCTTTTTAAGGTCTCGTTCGATTATCGTCATATAATTATTCAACGTAATATTATTCAATTTTAAGATAACCCAATTGTATAATTGAACTTATAGATTTCTAGTTTATAATTCATTAATAGCCCAATACACAAATTTATTATTCCTTCAATTGCATGTTAGCTCAAAACATTTATTAAATAAAATCAAATTATTTAATTAGTTATCACTAAACTTATTTGGTCAAAGTAGATATAAGTTATTATAATGTGAACACAAATTAAATTAACATTTGCTGCCTGCCTGACTTCCATGTTGAGGAGCACGACAAATGTTTGCTTCATCATAAATTTAACAATTTGATTATTTAAAGCAAAAAAAAAAATGATTAGTAAATTAATTGAGAGGGGCACATCACACCAATAGTTTCTGTTTCTTCAAGATTCAATTTGGCATACGCCCAACCCAACTAACACTCCATGATTTTTCTACTTCCCATGTTTTTTTTGGGGGGGGAATCGAATTAATTGAAAATGTAGGGGCCAATGATGAAAACAATAATATTGACAAATCAGAGTTTCCTTTTCTGCAAGATTCAATTTTGGCGTGGTTCTAGGAATATTTCTTTTTAGTTTTTAGTCCCCCACCCCACCAACACCAAGTGGCGATGCTTTTCACGCATTTGTTGAGATATAATTAAATGAATTATTAACCAATACAAATGGATCAAACTAAATAATAAAATTAAAATCGACAGGCCCATTTTTCTTCAATATTCAACTTTGGCCGCGTGATATATATATGTTAGTAAGAAATAAGAATAATTTAAGGTTGATTTGCTAGTCACACGAGAATTGGCACCGTTAGCACACAAAGTATGAATGTATCCCATCAAGTATATAATATTTCACGTAAATGTAGTCAAAATTCATGTTTGTGTCATTTTATATTTTATGATAATTAAATTTGATGAATGATGACCAGAGTTTATAAAACGCAATGCAATAGTCAAATTGTAATATTTATGTGTGTTAGCATTGGTCAATTTATAGACAAATTGATCGTTAAAGTCGTAATTATAACAAATTGAAAATGCATGATTATTGAAAGTTGACCAATGTCTTGTGTTTGGTGCACTAATGGGCCAATTTTCTGTATTTATAATAGATAAAATTTATTAATTCCACAGTTAGAGCAGCCCGTTAGACCCGATCGAGGCCCAACTTTTAATTTCTAAGACCTTCAAAAGGGACATATTTCCAATAAATAAATAATTGCAAATAAAAGTTCCAATTAAATAATTCTATATTTTACTCCTTACATTTCAAATTATACATTCATATATGTCATATATCATTGCATACGTTACTTTTGACATGCTAATTTCCGAACATTTAACTTGTTATATATCAGTTTTTATTGTATTTGCATGTTTAATTAATCTAAAGAGTTTTAAGTCCAATATAAAAATCTTGCCAATTTTATTTTTATTTTTGAATAAAAATTAAAAAGAGAAATTCCAAACATTGCCTTGAGTGTCCATGTTCTATTTCGTTTAAAGTATAATTTATTTACATGATAAGGACCAACTTGTAATAAAAATATTGTGTGCAAAAACTTAATAACATTTCCCTCTAAAAAATATTCCCAAAATTTGAACTTCTCCTCACATGGGTACACGTGGTCCAGCTTCCAATCCAACATACAGTTTTCCCAAATTACCCTCACTCTCACCCATAACATACCAATGGAGCAATGAGTATTTATGTCATTTACCAGTTTGGGCCGTGGGAAGCTGCGAAGTCCAACAGTGAGATGTCGAGATGGGCTGGGCCCACATCACAGCTGGCACCAAATGGTGGGGCCATACGGATTCCAACCATTTTATCAAATCCCGTAAATAATTTCCCATACGCCCACTCTCACTCACTCCCCCCTAAAACAAATACATATACTGGTTTAGAAAGAGAAAATATCTCTTTCTTAATTTTGAAATCACAGACCTAAACAGAGAGAGAGAAAGGACAGGGTTTAGGCTGTTGTGTTGTGTAGCAGTATTCATCTGAAGAAAAATCGTAAAGAGAGAAAGAGAAGGAAAAATGAGAGAAATAATAAGCATACACATAGGGCAAGCCGGGATTCAGGTCGGGAATTCTTGCTGGGAGCTGTACTGCCTCGAGCATGGTATTCAGCCAGATGGCATGATGCCTAGGTATTATTTCTCTATTTTTACCCTTTTTTTGCGTTTGCATTTGCACTTGTCTTTCGTTTTTATGTTGAATGAGATTTGTGGATATGACCAAGTGTTCTGATCTGCTGCATTATTCTGTGTTTGACTCGATCTTCAGATTTTATTCGTCATTGTGTTTTTTTGCTGCAGTAGAAAGTTTCGTGGCTGGATCTTCTATTTAGATTTAAATTTTTCTGTCTGATTATACTTTTTGCTTCGATTTCAAATGTGCCAAGTTGTGAGCAGTTGTGGCTTAAATCCCCAAATCGAAGAGGTTTCTGTAAAAGCTCGATTTGTAAACAGCTTCTAGAAATTAAATGTTTTTTTATTCCCTCTAATTTTTTTTTTCAAATTTCTAGATTTGTGAATTTGATCCGTAATTTTGTGTGTGGGAACTTGCAGTGACACCACGTTCGGTGTGGGGCATGATGCTTTCAACACCTTCTTCAGCGAGACTGGATCAGGAAAGCATGTACCAAGAGCTATATTTGTTGATCTTGAACCTACGGTTATTGATGAAGTCAGAACTGGGACTTATCGCCAGCTTTTCCACCCGGAACAGCTCATCTCTGGAAAGGAAGATGCCGCCAACAATTTCGCTAGAGGCCATTATACTGGTTAAGATCCACCATATTTACAGATTTGAAGTTTCCTTTTTCATTAGATCTTTCCCCCCTTTTGTCCAATTTGTTCATAAATCAAGTCAAAGTTTGTGTTAATTGATCATATACTACATCACTACCTCTCAATCCCTGATTTTTGGAGTTCTAGATACTCGTCAGAATAGTTACATAGCTACATTATTGCCATATAGTACATTAATTGAATGTTTTATTTATGTTTACATGTAAGACTGATCTGCTCTTACGAACAAAGTTAATTGAACTTAAAAACATTTGACATTTTTTTTCTTCCATTTTTGATATAGTGCGTGATAGCTTGTCAGTAGTTACATCTGCATATATGTCAAACCACTGACTGTTACTTGTGATATTTTGTTTGCAGTTGGGAAAGAGATTGTTGATTTATGCCTTGACCGAGTAAGGAAGTTGGCTGATAACTGCACAGGCTTGCAAGGGTTTTTGGTTTTCAATGCTGTAGGTGGCGGTACTGGTTCTGGATTGGGTTCTTTACTCTTGGAACGCCTCTCTGTTGACTACGGAAAGAAGTCAAAGCTTGGTTTCACCATCTATCCTTCACCCCAGGTTTGTTAGACTTTTACTTAAACTATTAACAGATGTTTTTCATTATGACATGGATTAGGTAATTGATTTAAATTCTCAATTAACAGGTGTCCACTGCAGTTGTTGAGCCATACAATAGTGTTCTCTCCACTCATTCTCTTCTCGAGCACACTGATGTGGCAGTCCTCTTGGACAATGAAGCCATTTACGATATTTGCCGCAGGTCTTTAGATATCGAGAGGCCAACATACACCAATTTGAATCGATTGATTTCTCAAGTTATTTCATCTTTGACTACTTCTTTGCGTTTCGATGGGGCCATTAATGTCGATGTGACTGAGTTCCAAACCAATCTTGTACCATATCCTCGCATCCATTTCATGCTCTCGTCATACGCACCCGTGATATCAGCCGAGAAAGCATACCATGAACAGCTATCTGTACCTGAGATCACAAATGCAGTATTTGAACCATCCAGTATGATGGCAAAATGTGATCCACGACATGGGAAATACATGGCTTGTTGTTTAATGTATCGTGGAGATGTTGTTCCCAAGGATGTCAATGCTGCTGTTGCCACCATCAAGACAAAACGAACTGTTCAGTTCGTGGACTGGTAAGAAAAAAGTTCTTGCAATTTCCAATTCTTTTACTTTCGACTATTATTATAATTCTAAGAAATCATTCTTTGATTTGAAAAGGTGCCCAACTGGATTTAAGTGTGGAATTAACTATCAACCTCCAACGGTGGTGCCTGGAGGAGATCTTGCCAAAGTGCAGCGAGCCGTGTGCATGATCAGCAACAACACAGCCGTGGCTGAAGTGTTTTCGCGCATTGACCACAAATTTGATCTCATGTATTCAAAGAGGGCTTTTGTTCACTGGTACGTAGGGGAAGGAATGGAGGAAGGTGAGTTCAGTGAAGCTCGTGAAGATTTGGCTGCACTTGAAAAGGACTACGAAGAAGTTGGTGCAGAGGGTGTTGAGGAAGAAGACGATGGTGAAGATTATTAATATAGTTCTAAGTTTGTTGAGTTGAGAGGGGGTTTGGATTCTAAGTAGCCCCACTCTATTTGTGTATTATTAAGGTTCCTGTTTTTATTATTGTACTAACTTTAGTTGGATCCTACTTATGTTTTCTCTCAAGTACTGTCTAAATTTCTATGGTATGAAAATATGCATCTCGACTTTTGCAAACTATACATGGCTATTGACAGTTATATCGTACTTGTTGCTGGATATAAGGTTTAGTTTATGAAAGAAGTGAAACTGTACAAGTTATAGCCCTTCTTTTTACAACCCCGGAAAATTTCATCGGGTAAAATTTCATGATGCGCGTGTATGTAAGATATATGTACTTGAGCTATGTTAGCATCTACAACTCATAGCACAGGTCCACACAGCTGGGGAAATGTAGTAATAGAAAACAGTCACTGTATTTACGACCAACGGAATCATCATCGTGAATTATTTACCACCAAGAGGAGAATGAGAATGTGATGCAGATGAAGAAGGATCCGACGAGTCTGATTGCTCGGCCTTTGGTTGGACAATGTTATCATCTCCTACATCTGAAATGGCACAACAAAGTGTGTATCTCAGAAACACGAACACCACTTCTCCAGGAAATTTATTGACAGAGAAATAGATAGAGAGAGAGAGAGAGGGAGTACTAGGTTCGGGTTCGGGTTCAGGTTCAGGTTCAAGGGTGAGATTTAGGTCAAAGTTTGCCATGTAGATTGGATTAGACTCTACACTATTCGATGGTGATGCAACAGCCCTTCGATCGTGAACTAGAGGAGTACCTATCTCGATCAACGGTTCATTATTCCCCATAACATTAATATTTGGTAAGGGGAACTGTTGTTGCCCTGTACATATAATATCATCCAATAAGCTTTCTTCGCACACAACAACATGCTGCTATACCAGTTTACTGCTAATCATAAATCCCAAACTCCACAAGCAAACCGACATTCTTGAAAATAAAATTAACTATACTAAGTCAATCAAAACTTATCTCATAAATAAACCAAACTCCATACTTATACGAAAAAGAAAAAAACAAAATATATATATACGGGACCGGTTATCCAGGATATTAGAAGTCTGTCTTACTTGGCGGATTGTTAGCATTGCGACCATTCATGAGTTGTACCTGCTGCGAAAGCAACCTGTTGAATTCTATTATTTGGTCCCTGAGAACCAGCCTCGTATGATAAGCTCTGAAAAAATCCTGATTATCCATTTCC